AAACAAAAAAAAAAAAAGAAGAAAAGACACCCCCCCAGAGAAGGGAAAGAGCCGACTAATGTGGGCTGCAGCAATATGGGAGATAAGATAGAAGGAGGGCAGAAAGGAAGCTGCCCCTCACTGGCAGGATGGAGAGCTATGTGGGGTGTTAGAAGAGAAGTGACTAAGAGCATTTTAAGGTAGCCTGTAATTCAAAAGGGACAAATGGAACTGGGCTCATGTTGCTAATACCAGGGCATTAACTATAGCGAAGGAGAGGAATACCCACAGGCTTTCTCTCCCAAATAACACCAAACCCACTGACATCTTCCAGAGCAGACACACAAGGAAAGCCACTGACTACAAGTCAAAGTAGTCACAAAAAGCTGCAAAAAAAAAGAATCTAAGAGGTGGGGGGTGGGGTGGGGTGGGGGTGGGGCACAGCAAGATGGGGAGGGAAGGAAAAGAGAACTCTGAGATCATCCTTGGAAGAATCACATCTCATGCACACACGGTTTCTTCCAAAAGGAATGTGTGGAGGAGACCCTCCGTGACTCCGGCCTCCTTGCTGCAGAGCAGATTCCTCCTGGCGCATGGCCTCACGCCAATACTGCGGAATGTGGAGTGTATGTAACACCTCCATGCAGCAATGCCTTCCACACTAACTACTTCCTCACCACACATAGCATCACTTGGCCTTCCCTCTTAATCACGTGGTCCTCCAAGTAGAGACCCAGAAGTATGGCAAGGAGAATGGGTTTGTGAGGCAAAAGTTAGACCACAGAATTATACAGAAAAACCATTAAAGAGCAACTGGCTAGTAGGTTTCAAACTATCCTTTAAAAACCACACACAGTTCTCCTTCCTAAAATTGGGCCATGTCATAGAAGCTCAAAATGTGGGCCAATCTGTCCTGGTGAAATGTGTAAGGACCTTGGGCTTCTTCCCTCTCAGTCCCTACGAGGGGAGCCAGACAGGACACACGTGTGGAAGAAGCTGTCCAATGACACCCTGGGAGTATGGGCCCTCCAACCACTGCAGCACACGCCTGATGTAAGGAGTGACACTGTCATCTCTGGACTAAGAAGGTTAAACATGGGCACTACCATGATGTCCTCTAATCAGACTTCTCAGTCTGGAAATGTGAGCAGACAAGTGGTGGACCGTGTTGGATGACGTGCACGGGCGGTCCACCGTGCAGATACATATGTGCTCACATCTGGAACATGTGTGAACCTGCCTAGTGCATGCACTTCCGGGGCAGTGAGAGTGTAAGTATAGGAAGTCAGCACAGAGAGAAACACTTTGGGTTTCCCTCCATTGCTAATGAGGTGAGATCTCCGTATCCTCCAGGTGTCAACTTAACCCCACCTCTTCCCTGAGATCTTCCAGATGGTCCAGTCCAGTTCTTGCCCTCCTGGAATCTTCCATAACACACATTTTCAGTCCTTAGCTGGCACTTACATAACAATACAACTTCACATGTCCATGTCTTGGCTCCCCAAGTTCCTCAAAGGACAAGGCAGGTATTTTATGTTTAAGCAGATGGGGGCTTGCTCCCAGGAGGTGCTGGCAGTGGCTGGCCTGGCAGCAGGATTTCCCCAGGCCAAAACTTGCATTTTACTTTATAATGAGCCCCTACATGGGGCTCCCCAGATGCTCAGGGTGTGTTCAGCCTGCACGTGGCTTCCAGAATACCTTCTTTTGCTATTCATGCTCCCCACTCTGGTCCATGTGTCCGTCTCAGGATTGTAGGCCTCCACAGTGCTCAGCCGCAGCTGACCGTCATAGCCCCCGATTGCATAGAGAAGCCCGTTCACCACAGCCACACCCACACGACTTCGGGCTGTTGTCATGGGATGGCACTTTTCCCAGCGATTGGCGATGGGGTCGAACACTTCCACCACATTCAGGGAATCACCTGCATAAAAATTTGCTACTCAAATTAAAACAAATGAGACCACTTGTTTAGATCACAGCTACTGGGTATCGATCATATGGATATCTGACTGGTTCTAGGTCTTCTCATGAATCAATTAGAGTAACTGGGTCCGCTACAAACTCTGGCTCTGATAAAGATTTTAGAATCAGATGGGAAGCATTTGCTCTTCAGTAGTCGTTTTCTGTCATAATCAGGTAAACCTTTTGCTTGGAATCGACAATAAAGGCAAATTTGTAGAACGTTTGCCCAATGCAGGAAGCATGCCAGAGCAAAGGGCATGGGTCCTAATGCTAACTGCCACTTACTCTAATGACCAGAGGAGCTGCTTTATGTCCTCATCCTGTTTGGATTGTGAAAGGAAAGGCTGACCAAGCTGCCATGAGGATTAAATGACATAATGGATACAACACCAAGTGGGTCTAGAATATACTTAGTAAACAGTAGTCACAGAGACCAGGAATGGCAATTTGAACCCTCTCATTCTTCTTAGATTATGATTAGCAACTCAAACAATCAATCCTCTTCCCTGTGGCCTGGGAGACTAAACACTCACTACCCCTCTTGTGTTTGTTACTAAAGACTTACCTTTTCTAGGTCAGGCTGCTAACAAGCAGAAGGCTGCTCACTACTTTTCATAAACCTTAATTGAAAACAAAACTGTGACCTTCCCACTAACCTTCCACGAGGCTTCCCCAGGAATGTGACTGTATATAATACAAAAGCTACTAATAATGGTGGTTTTGTATTGTTTTGTTTGGAGGCAGAGTCTGGGATGGCCTCAGACCCTCAAGTCCTGAGATTACAGGTGTGTTATCAAGCTGCTGATAACTGGAGGATGAAAACCAGGTAGGGGCTTCACAGGAGACAGTGTGGTGAATTATAAAGAATACCAGACCTGAGGTACTGGGTTATCTCAGTCTGGAACAGAGATTCATATGCAAACATGAATAACCTAACTATAGAATTGGGCAGATTCCGTACTCTATGCTCTCTAGAGCTGGGTACATGCTGCAGATAACAAACACCAGGATTAGGTGCTGGTGTAAGCACCAGAATGGATCCCAGTCAGTCCCTGCTCTGACCAAAGCAAAGTGTGTGTACTGTCCAAGTTCCCTGGTCTCAACTTCCTCATCTGTATGTCTCAGCTATGGTGACTCTCAGACAGAATCCCACTATGTAGTCCAGGCTGCCTTGGCCGTGGGATCCTTCCAAGGGCTGGATTACAGGGGTGTACCGCCCCACCCCATTCTGTTGCTGCTGAGACAGGGTCTAGCTATGTAGCCCTGGTTGTCGTGGAAGTCACTATGTAGACTGGCCTTACTTGCAGCAATTCTCCTGCCTCTTATTCTCAGGCACTAAGATTATAAGCATGTGTTACATTGCTCAGCTTTTCTTTCCTTCTTGAGACAGTCTTACTGTGTAACTCAGCGGCTTCAAAATCACAATCCTCTTATTTCCATGACCCAAGTGCAGGGATTATAGGCATCTGCCAGCATCCGGGGACTGTCAAACCTAATTCGTTAAGGCACCTTTAGCACTGACATCAACTCAATACTATGAATACATAATAAGCTCCACTCTAGGGCAACTATACAAAATAAGTAGGAGACAGAGCAGCATAAAGAGAAATTAGGAAAACTAGGCTAGCCTGACTGTGCTTGTTTACCCAAGGGCTCCTAGAAAGAGCTCTGCAAAGGGGAGCTGCAAGATACCTGCTGAGTTGAGGCCCCCCACGGCATAGATCAACCCAGCGATGGATGTGCAGCATCGAGGCCGAGTCCTGAAAGCTGGCAGGTGGGGCCTGCGCTCTGGCATGAGGTGATAGTCCTTTGCTTCATCTACCAGGTCCCTGCAGTAAATTGCAAGAAGTTAGGAGAGGGAGTACCTTCAATGCTGGTCCACATATACACTGCTAAGTCTGGCTCCTCCATACCCCAACACAGGGGCATTTGGGAAAAGTCTTCTGGAAAATCTGACCTATCTATCCCTGTCTGTCTGTCTGTCTCTCATGCTGGGGATTGAATCTAGGGACACACCCACACCCACACACCAGAATGCTCTACCTTTGAGCTATATCCCCAACCCTTAGTGAGGTTTAGTGTCACAGAGTGCAGGTGGGATTGGGATGGAACAGAGGCCACCTCAGCTAGCAAAACCAGAGCAACTGCCTTCTAACAGGCACAATTCAGGTGTGAACTTTTAATTACATTTTAAAATTTATTTTATATACCAACCAGTTTCCCCTCCCTTTCCTCCCCCCCACCTCCCTCCTACCACTACCACCCCCCATCCATCCTCAGAAAGGGTAAGGCCTCCCATGGGGAGTCAACAAAGCATGGCATATCAAGTTGAGGCAGGACCAAGCTCCTCCCCGCTGCATCACAGCATCAAAGGTAGGCAAGGCATCCCACCACAGGGAATAGGTTCCAAAACATGAGCTCATGCACCAGGGACAGATCTTGGTCCCACTGCTAGGGGTCTTACAAACAGACCAAGTTACACAACTGTCACATGCAGAGGACCTAGGTCAGTCCCAAGCAGACTCCCTAGCTGTTGGTCTAGAGTTTGTGAGTTCCCACAAGATCAGGTCAGCTGTCTCTGTGCGTTTCCCCATCATGACCTTGACCCCCCCTGGCTCATACAATCCCTCCTCCCTCTCTTTAACTGAATTCCCAGAGCTTGGCCCAGGGCTTGGCTGTGTATCTCTGTGTCTGCATCCATCAGTTACTGGGTGAAGGTTCAGGTGTGACTCTGAAACACAGAGTGGGATTAGGATGGACGGGCAGGGGAAGCTCCACAGCACTCAGCTCTTCCTTCCTACCCCAATGACCATCCCATGGCCTACGTCCTCCAATCACTGGCCTAGCACCACTTGCACTATGGCAACTGTTGCCAAGTGCTCCAGATGAACTTCCCTGCCTCCAACCTGCCTCTCCAGCCCCTCCTCACCACAGACCACATTGCCTTTTCTAAGAACTTTCTTTGATAGCCATGTGCTACTGAAAGGATAGTTCATAGGCCTCAATATTACCCTTCAGGCTGCTCCTCACAGGGCCCTAGCTCCCTTCAGCCACACATCCCACTTCCTGACACACAAAGTCTGCATCATGCTACTGACTTCCCCCTGAACCTGCTGATGGGTGAAATAATGCTGAGTCAATCTGTGAAAAATCTTGTCAGTAGAGGAAAAAAACCAAACCAAACATTGCATTGGGAATACAACAAACAACTGGAAAGACAGGCCTTTCTCTCTGCTGCTTTAATCGTATAACAAGCCATCTTCTGAACTGTGCGGGTGGCTCTGGGTAGAAGCTGCATACACTGGTACACCAGACACCCCTTCCCATCACTCACCAGAGGCCAGTGCACAGCTGCTACTTATTAAAGGAGGCAAGGAGCCCCAGGAAGTCCCATTTGCACTATCAAGTCAGCTGCCTGTGTGAGCAAGGTGAATCCAGGCAGCATAGACACAGTAGACTCACAGACTCAGTAGATGAAGATGAAGAGCACATAGATAACTCAGGGAAGAAAAAGTCCCTTCTGCTCCACGCGGCATCTCTCTCACCACTACGTGAGTCTTGTGCAATGCATGCACCATGAATTAAGACTGACTGCTTCAAATCCTTCTTTTCCTGAGCTGGCACAGGTGGTTGACGCCTCTTCTTTGCCTGGACCCTGGGCGGTGTCCTGGGTAAATCCACCCACACTTACCTGCACTTGTGACAGCAACGCACCAGGTCATCTTGCTGCACTCGGTCTGACAGGAACTGGGGCCGGCAGAGAGGCAGGCGGATATTGGACAGCAGCTCTGGCAGGCAAGGTTCCCTCTTCTCCCTGTCGTATCTGACCCAAGCCAGTGCGGCTTCAAAAACCTATGGGACAGAGAGCAGATGCTCTGGCAGCTACACAGACCACACTCCTGCTTCCTCAGTCTCCACCTATACTGAACAGGTCCTCAGGCAATCCGGCTTTCCTCATACTCGTGTCTGGAATCCATAGCTTTCTTTCCACTTCTCCAGCTATGCTCTTAGGTTCCACTCTTTTGTTTCTGAGACAGGGTTGTCAATGCAGCCCAGGCTGGGCTAGAAGAACTTGAGGTCCTCCCAAGTGCTGGGATGACACTTGTGGGAGACCATGGCAAGCTTCATTCGAGTCTTTTGTAATGTGACCCTAGGTTACTATAAGAGCTTCCAGGCTTTCATTATCATTTTTAAAAATTTGTCTCAATTTTATGTGCATTGGTGTGAAGGCGTTGGGTCCCCTGGAACTGGAGTTAGTTGTGAGCTGCCACATGAGTGCTGGGATTTGAACCCGGGTCCTCTGGAAGAACAGCCAGTGGTCTTAACTACTGAGCCACCTCTCCAGCCCCTCATTATCCTTTCCTTTCTGCATCACAGCAAAATGTCTATTTCTCTTCTTTCCTGCTGCTCTTGCAGCCTACCAGCTCTAACTTCTCTATCCTAGGCAGGGCAGGCCAGTTCCTCTGCTTACATAGTCTTCTGCCCCAAAGCCAAGTGGTCATTTCCCGCTTCTCTTTATTTAAGTCTGCTCCCTACTTTCTAAAGTCTAGCTCGAGGTGTATGTCCTCTTAGGAGCCTTCCTTAATACCTCCAACCACAAGAATATAACTTTTTGAAGGCCCTTGTACCTGACAGATTGCCATTCAAATGCATGTGAATCATCACTCTGAGACACACTGCTTAGCAGCAGCAGGTGGGGGCAAACACTCTGTTCTTAGGATGAGGTACTTCTAAGTCTATGTCCATGCTGAAAGCTCAGGATCCACTTCTCTTCAGGTCACTGATATTCAAGGGTGGGGACTCTCCAGATATTCAAGAAATTTAGACGAGTTTGTGCTAACACCCCAATTGCTGCCTCCTAGGAAGTCCTAGCCAAGCCCAGCCGGTTGAAAGGACAAAGGGAACTCTAGTTCTATTCCCTGCCAGGGACAAACTTGCAAAAGTACAGTATGGGGCTGGGGCCAGGCAAAGATATTAAATTTTGGTTCCTGAAAAACAGACTTTCTACCCTGAACGACTGTGGTTCTCAGTCTCGAGGCAGCTGTGTCTGAGGTATCATCTATCCTGTGCTATCTTGCCAACATTGTTTGATTTAGCTTTCTGATGACATTGAACCATTGCCCCAACCGCCAGTAAAGAATATATAAGAAGCCATTCTTCTTGTTCTTCTTTTTGTTTGTTTGAGACAGGATTTCTGTGTGTAGCCCTGCTGTCCTGGAACTCACTTGGAACTCACTCTGTAGACCAAGTTAGTCTTTAACATTAACCCAAGTGCTGGGAAGAAAAAGGGGCCCCGCCACTGACCAATAGGCTACTATACTTCTTAATAAACTTGCTTAACATTAAAAACAGGCACCGCCACTGACCAATAGGCTACTATACTTCTTAATAAACTTGCTTAACATAAGCTATGCCAAACAAACACATGTCTGTCATTTCCTGGAGCAGGCAGAACGGAACCATCTGTTGGTAAGGTTACAGGTGCGGCATAGTCCAACCCGTGAGAAACTGAGGTTTAACCATAAATGGCTGTTAAGCTTCAAACACAGGCTGGCCAGCTCTTCTCCTGCTCTCCAATCTCTTTAGGAGAATAATGGCCCCTCAGCCATGGGCTGGGTGGGAACCTGAGGGCCACAGCCACTAGCAATGGGGGTCTCCACTTCAAGCTGCTTCCTGAACTGGCCTACACCCCACACAGGAGCTTGTGTCCTCTGGGCTGTGAGCTGCTAAAGGCAGACACAGTGAAGCTGATGTCAGAGCTGTGACGCATGGAGGGACATGGGTTATCAGGTCTCAATTTTTCAAACTTTATACTTGATCTTAGCAAATGACCAAGAATGGCTGACAAGACGGCTCAGTGAGGAAGGGACTTGCTGTGCAAGCCTGTATCTGACTTTATCCTGAGACCCACAGGGCAGAAAAAGAGAACCAATTCCACAAAGGTGTTCTCTGACTTCCACATTCCTGCCACAGCTATGTGTGCATGTACACACACTAAACAATAGCATTTAATAAGTAAATAAATTTTGTTTTATTTATTTATTGAGACATGGCCTCAATGTGTAGTTCCACCCTTCCTGGAACTCACTCTGTAGGCCAGGCTGGCCTTGAACTCACAGAGATCATCTGTAAGACCCTTGAGGTTCCAGTGGCCACAACCTGACCTCAGACTTCTAGCCAATCCCTGGGCTTACCCCAAGATCAGGCCACAAAATCCTGTGCCACCCTGGAAAGTTCTGCTCCCCACAAGAAACTCTATATACAGCTTACCTCCTTCTCAGATCTTTGCTGCTTCTCCCCCAAACAGAGGCAGCCACTTTCTTGTCTCTTCCAAGAAATCTCTTGTGTGTCTTGATTCCCTACTGTCAGGATACCTTTTCCCTCAGAGCTGTAACACTTATACCCTCCTGCCTCTGCCTCCCAAGTGCTGGGATTAAAGGTGTGTACCACGACACCATACCTTCATTTTATTCTTAAAGACAGAACCTTACTATGTAGCCCTGGCCGGCCAGAAACTCACTTTGGTGACCAATCTGGCCTTGAACTCACAGAAAACTACCTGGCTCTGTCTCCCAAGTACTGGGATTAAAGATGTGTGCCACCATGCCCAGTCCATAAACAATTTTAAAGGCCAAGAACTGATGACATTCAGAGGTTTACAGTTGATGTATTTATAAAATGTGTGCAACACTGGGTATTCCCCCGAGCATAGCCTCAAAACGGTTGTCTTTTCATGAACCTGGATGAAGAATTCAAGGTGAAGTCCATGGGCTCTAGGCAGCTATTTTTGGGATCAAAGCAGAAGAGCCAGGTAGGGAGAGAAGTGCTGTCAACGGGAAGGTCTGGAGGCCAGCAGAGCCACTCAGGCTCAGAGTGAACAGGCATGCCCAGCCTGCCAACAAGTCTCTTCTTTCTAGCTCAAGACTCACTTCCAGGTCTTGGTCTATTGCCCAAACCTCCTTGCCTCTCTTGGCTAACCGTGTTTCATAACATTGGCCAACATTTGATTTCTAGCCAAGTCAAGAAGGGGCCCCCATTCTGTAGCCATCAGCCATTTATGTCACCAGCTGTCCTTGGGCAAGTCAGCCTAAGGATCACCTAAATAAAAGGAGTCAGGAGTGGCAATGGGTCAGACACAATGGCAAGGCTGTGGAAGGCACTTGTGTTGGTGGTGGCCTTGGCTGTGATACCCTGTGAGGCCCATCGCCCACCAAGATATGAGGATATTGTTGACCGGGCCATAGAGGCATACAACAATGGGCGTCCAGGAAAGCCCCTCTTCCGCCTGGTAGATGCCACTCAGCCATCTGGTCAGGTGAGTGTCTGCCACCCAGCCTGGAAATCAAGCAGTGTAGAAGGTTTCTCCTACCTGGGCACTGGGCATGTAGCTCAGTTGGTAGAGTGTTTGTCTTGCATACGTGGAACCCTGGACTTGAACCCTAGCACTCTGCAGGTGGAAGCCACAGGATCAGAGGTTTAGAATTAGTCTCAGCTATGTAATGACTTCTAGGCCAGCCATTTCTTCTACTCACAGTTAGGATAAGTCTGCACTGTCAGCCTGTCTCCTGGCACAAGACTTGAAGGGATGGGATTTTTATTACTGTTTTATACAGGATGGTGCTGAAGGGCAATCAAAGAATGTCATACAGCTATTAGTAGTAAAGACCACGACTTCTCCTCTTTTTAGACAGAATTCATGTAGCCCAGGCTGCCTGGAATTTGCAATGTAGCTGAAGATGACCTTGAACTCCTGATCCTCCTGATTCTACCTCCCAAGTGTTGAGACTACAGATGTGTGCCTCCAGGGCCAATTGTACCCTTTACTTCATTTATGTCATGCCTGCTGGCCTGCAACTTGCTCTGTAGACCAGGCTGGCCTTGAACTCACAGAGATCTGCCTGCCTCTGCCTCCTGAGTGCTGGGATTCAAGCATGTGCCACCACACCCACTGACTGTACCCTTCAGGACATTTCATAGGCCCCAGATGTAGACATGGACGAGGCTGCCACAGGCACTGTCCCCCAAGCCCTCTGTGCTCTGCCCCACATCTGTAGAAGAGAGATGGTCATGAGCTCTCTGTTCCTTCCTCAGTTCTCCACTAGCAGGATCTCACTGGAGTTCAGGATTAAAGAGACAGAGTGCATCTCCACACCGGAAAGAACACAGCCTAGAAACTGCAACTTCCTGGAAGATGGGGTGAGTCTCCTTCTCCCAGCTCCCAGACTGCCTTGCGGAGGAACACAAGTTCTCTCCTCCTTGGCTCCATCCATATCACCTGGCCACTTCATCAGCAACAATTTTAACTTGAAGTCTTTTTCTAAATTCATTTTTGGGTCTGGAATTGCCTTAGAGCATAAAGGAACCCTGGAACTGACACGGCGAAGAGAGCTGACTCTATAGGCATGCACTCTCACACTCCCAAATAATACTTAGAAAAAAAACAAAATCAGGCTTTTTAAATACCTTTTCTTACTATAAATTATTGCAATTAGCTCAGGGGTAGTCTTGTTTCACAAGTGCAAGGCCCTGGGTTTCACTCCCAATGCCACATAAATCAGTGAGGGAGGAGGCGTTACATGCTAAAACCTACTAAATAAAAATAAAATAAAAAAGCAAAATGACAAAGTGTGTGTGTAATCCACCTAGAGATGTTGCTTTTAGAAACAGAACCAGAAAGTAACATATTTCAAATGTTCTTTTACCATTCACACTTAAAGCAATGGTTCCACTGACTGACTCACAGCCTCATTTCCCAGGGCCAGGCATCAGCTGTTGATTTATCTTCACACAGGACCTTCAACAAACACACTTTCCTCAGGGCATGAGAACTTCTAGTGATTTATAAGGATGTTCTGTCATTTACGTTAACAGGTGTGCATCTGTCCTCCTGTCCACCGTCTCTCTTTGCTGCTCTGGCTTGCATCTCTGGTTTGAGCACAGTGCTGGCCTCTCTCCAGAAATGTGACAAGATGTCTATAACTCCTGTCCCCCCCACTTACAGGAGGAGCGAGACTGCACAGTCCAATTCCTCAGAAGGGGGCGTTCAACCTACCTGACCTTGAGCTGTGACACGGATTGCAGTAGACAGGTGAGCAGCTTGCTGCCCATGTTCCCTCCAGGGTTCTCACTGCAGAGGCCTAAACCCGGGGTTACAAATCCCCTCCTGCTGGGCTCTCTCTTGGGCCCTGGGAGAGGCACTGAGCTGACTGTGTATGTGCTGCACACACAGGCTCTTTATCTGGAAACAACCAATCAACCCCTTTACAGCAAGTGTGTGGAGAGGTGTGGCATGCCCTGTGTTGGCATGGCTCAGACCTTCCCACTGTTAGGAGAGAAGGGGCCTGGAAGAGTTCTAGAGGGGCCTGGTGCTCTGCAACACCAATTCTCTGGCCTCAAGACAGCCAGTGGGAGCCGACCTCCTCCTAATCCAGATCTACCCAGGCCTCCATGTCCCATCACACCCTTGTGTCTGCTGCCTCTGTCACCTCATCCTGTCTGTGAGGGGAAGACCACAGGCAGATTAGACACCAACCACTGTGATGGTGGTGACTGTCTGGTATCTCTCCCACAGGGTGCCCAGGTGAAGGATTCTCCTGATTACACTGTGGAGGATGTCTCTGAGAAGGACCAGCTCAAAGATCTTCCTCCTGAGATTAGGAACATTTATGAAAATGCCAAGTTTGACATCATCAACAACATCCTTCATAATTTCTAGTGCTGGGGAAGAGAGGTGAGGCTCTGCCTGCCTCTGTGCCCTCCTCTGCTCCACTACCCACCTCCCTCTGCTACCTCCAGGGCCCTGCTGTCTGCACTTTCCAGGAGGGCCCCCATAAGCAGAATATAAGATGCTATGCTTCTGATAGGGTTTCTCGATGTAGCCCTGTCTGTCCTAGAAATTACTCTGTAGACCACACTGGCATCAAACTCAGAGATCCACCTGCCTCTGCTTCCTGAGTGCTGGAATTAAAGTCATGTACCTCCTCTGCCCGGCTGGACAGAACTTCTTATTCTGTATTCAATGTCTTTCATTGCTAGCCCTTACTGTTCTGTCTCCACACTCATTATCCTTGTGAGCCCTCTGCTCCTTTCTGGGTACTGACAGTCTCTGCTTTTATTTTAACTTTTCTTAACCACTCCAAGAAGATAAGACCTTTCATTTGCTTTACCAATAACTCCACCATGCAAGATGGTTATAAAAGGCTTTCAAGAGCTTCCCATTTTCACAGTGGGGTGTTTGTGTGTGTGTGTGTGGGGGGTGCCTATGAAAGAAGAGGATCACAGATTCCCTGGAGTTATAGTTATAGGCAGTTGTAAGCCACCCCACAGGAGGAAACCACACATGGGTCAAACATGGTCCTCTGGAAACCTGCAAATCCACACCTCTTCTCTCTCTACCTGGCTCCTCCATTGATCCCAAAAATAGCTGCCCAGAACCCATGGACTCCTCATTGAGTTCTTCATCTGGGTTCATAAGGAGACAATGGTTTTGAGAGTCACAGACTAACAGTGGTGACAGAGTGAGATTGTGCCAACAAATACATTCGTGCATACATACATACATTCTGGTGGTGGTGGCACACACCTTTAATCCCAGCAGGAGAGTAAAGTGCTACAGCTCTGAGGGGAAAGGTAGCCTGGCAGTAGGGAGCCTTGTTACACAAGAGATTTATTGAGAAAGAGACAAGAAAAACGGGCTCTTCACCACTGAACCATCTCTCCAACCCACAACATCCAGCTCTTGAAATTCAGCGTGCCTTTTATTCTAAACCTGCACCCACAAATGACATTGACAGAGAACACACCAGAAAGCCAAGCACCTTAAGCTTAAGCTAATCATCAGGCCCTGCTCCCTAGCAAGCCCTCTCCAAATCCCCCACTCATCTCATACATTTCTCTTCCCCTCACATTTCCAGTATTATTCTCTTATGCTCATTGTCGGCTGGGAAGACAGAAACAAAGCACAGAACAATGTCAATAGGAGATATCTACCAGCACCCGCTCCCTCGTCTGGCTGTGCACACCACCTCTTGTTGGGCTGCTATGGGTGCAGACAGCTTTCGTTCCTATCTAATAATGCTCAATCCCAGTTGTCTGAGACTCTGATTCTTCTCAATTCAGAATGCCATCCAGCCACCATTTTCTCATTTCTCTTGCATCACCAATGCCCGCCCCCCACCTCTGGAAAGTCCCACCAACAGTCAAGGACATAGAATTTATCTCATCTTAACAATAACAACTCCAACTTCAAGTGCTTGATTTTCAGTTTATGGCAATATTATTTCTAATAATAAATACTGAAATTAAACCAAGCTCTAACAATAAGGGAAATGTAGCTGATAAATAATACTATTTTTTAGATGTTAAAATAAAAGAAAGGTTTTTAGGAAAAACACCTGTAACAAAACAAACCTCACAATACATAAAAATTGTACATTTGGACTGGAGAGATGGCATAGCGCTTAAAAGCACTGCCTGTTCTTTCAGAGGACTGTGATTCAGTTCCCAGCACCCACATGGCAGCTCACACCTGTCTGTAACTTCAGTTCCAGGGGATCTGATACCTTCGCACCAATGTACATGAAATAAAGTTAAATAAATTATTCTAAAATTGTATATTTATCATTTGTTAAAAGAAAAAAGGAAGGAGAGAAGGAATGGAGGAAGGAAAGAGGGGGGAAAGGAAGGAAGGAGGGGAAGAAGGAAGGAGGAAGGGAGGGAGGGAGGAGAGAGGGAGGGAGGGATGAGGGAGGGAGGGAGGGAGGGAGGAGGGAGAACTGTGTCCTCTGTATGGACAGACTGCTGCTGTGCTCTCCCACCTGTTCCTCTGACTTCACATTCAGCTCATCCCGGGACACCAGCTCAAGCACGTCTTCCAAAGGCAGGGCCAGGAACTCTTCCGACAGAGACACCTCCACAAAGTGCTGGTGGATGAAGCTGTTGGCCGCGTCATACAGCACTGCGCACATCATTGTCTCGGCAAACTGGCGCACACCCAGGCAATTTTTGGGGTGAAGCCTTTGGCATAAGTTGAAAAGAATAAGTTTTGAGGAAGGAATAATGAATCTTCAATCATTCTCAGAGTGGCTTGGAGTACAGCCATGGATCAAAAGTTACATTTTGTTCCCAGCATTGTTGGAAACCCCCCATGGTATCAGGCACCCATCTCCATGACTCACTTCTAATGGTATTAAATTAAGATGGGTTAGCCTCAAGTCTTTGTGCCTTGGGGCCTGGCCCTCTGCATGTGGAAGTGGAGTGGACTTTCGGGAAGTCCTGTAAAGCAGCTGTCAGATGAAAAGACAGGCAAGCATGCCCTGGGAAACCCTGTCACCACATCCAGCTGCTGTGGTCTCTGAGAGTATCCAGGGTACTATTTACCTCTAGGCACCAGGAAGGCACAAAGGCATGGAAGAGACACCTTCTTTAACAAAGGGAACATTACATACTTTTCCTTTTTTAGGTAGAGGGAGGCTCCATGAACCTAAGAGTTCAAACCTCTAGAAACAGCACAGGCAACTATTATTCATCATTTTAGTGACTAATATACTTTGCTAGACTTTTTATACCATTCTACAGAATCATTATACTTTTAAAGAAGATTTAATTGTATCACATTTAATTATGTATCTGTGTGTGAGTATGTGCTCATGTGTGCAGACAGAGGAGTTTGATCCCCTGGTGCTGTGGTTACAGGCAGCTGATAGCTGCCCTGTGTGGGTGATGGGAATTAAACTCTTTGGAAGAGCAGCAGGTGCTCTTAACTACTGAAGCATCTCTCCAGCTCCCCATTTGTACTTTTCTGAGGTGCTGTGGATTGAATCCAGGACCTTGTACATGTAGGCAAACACTCTACCAGTGAACTCCATCTTCAGTCCCTTAATGATCTTTTTAAGGGCTGGAAAGATGGCTCAGAGCTTAAGAGCATTTACTGCTCTAGAGAACTTAAGTTCAGATTCCAGGACCCACATTTTGTGTCTCACAACCTAATGTCCTCTTCTAGTCTTGGAGGGCACCTACACACACATGGCGTGTGCACACACACACACAAACACACACACACACACACACACATACACACACACACACACCCATGAATGCAGACGGACAGACAAACAGGCATACATAAAGAATCTTTTTTTAAAAAATCAGCCCCGTGGGTTGCTCTCTTTTTATAGGGGAAGACAGAGGTCCAGGGAAAGCAAGAAATGTGTTCCCAGTACTTTGACAAGTAAGTGGAGATGCTGGAACTGAAGTCAGGCTTCTTGCTATAACACCACAGCAGACCTGCACTCAGCAGAGCCTGCCAAGTCCCGGTCCCGACCCTCTCTGAGGAACCTGGGCATGCTCCCTGAGTTCTCAGAAGTATCATCCATTTTCTAATATAAAAAAGATGATGACAGCTAGGCAATAGTGGTGCACACCTTTAATCCTAGCATCTATGTGAGTTTGAGGCCAGCCTGATCTACACAGTGAGTTCCAGGACAGGCCCCAAAGCTACAGAGAAACCCTGTCTCAAAAAAATTAAAAATTAATAAAAAAAAACAGAAAAGATGGTGACATTCCAGGACACCAGAGCTGTTACACAGAGAAACCCTGTCTCAGAAGAGAGAGAGAGAGAATGAGAGAGAGAGAGAGAGAGAGAGAGAGAGAGAGAGAGAGAGAAAATTATGCACCTATTAGGGCTCGAGCTATGATTAAGACAGAATGTGAGAGCCGGGTGTGGTGGTATGTGCCTTGTAGTCCCAGTTTCAGGCAACTCAATGCTTTCTTCTGACCTTTGAGAGTACCTACACACAGCTTACATTGTGTGTGCACACACACACACACACACAACAAACAAAATGAAGGTAGGCAAAAGTACTGGTTCATTGTCTGGTATGAAGCTGCTGCTGTTTTAGTTTCTATTATTATTATTATCATCATCATCATTATTTTTAACTCTTGAACACACTCAGCTTGGGTCTGAAGTCTTGGTGACAGCAGTAGACACTGGGGATCCAAATTTTCCAAACTTTACTTTCCTATCTCCCTCTAGAGTCGTGGCTGCCCTGGAATTTACTATGTAGTTCAACAAGTCCCCTGGCTTCAGCCTTCTGAGTGCTCTGATGATAAGCAGGAGTGACCATGTCTGGCTTCTCAGTGAGTTTTCCAAGGCCGAGGAAATGAAATCACTGTGTGGAGCAGCACAGACAAGACAGTGAGGGCAGTGGACTTGGGTGGGGCTCAGGATAAGTCGCCTCTCATTGCTTTCTCTAGAGCACCTTGGTGGTTAAATGAGATGTTAAACCACTTTGCCAGTGTTAGGTGATGAGGAGACCCTGGGCTCCTGCCGCAGGTGCTTTACTCATGCTTCAGAAGCCCACACTACACACTGGGAGCTGAACAGAGCCTACAGAGAGGGAAAGGCCGAGCTGCATCCCTGCTGGCACTCCCTTCCACTCTCTCCTCAGGTGAGGAGTCTTGTCCCTTTCATCAGCCTGATTTAATAAGGAGCACCAATCATGCCTTCCTAAGTGAACTGTGCCACTCTACCTGACGTGACGGAGTATGGGAGGGTAACCTGTGAGGCTGTAACGGAAATGGAAGACGCAGGGGCCACACAGGAAGGCAGTTCATTCAGGAGGATGAAGACAGGGAAACAGAGCCGTTCCACACACAGCCACCTTCCTCACCGACAACTCACTTTGTCAGTAACCAGACTGCATTGGACAAATAACACACTACTGAAGACAGAGACCAGGGACCTGAAGGACAGTCACTGACTTGTTTCACTGATGCATTTGAGCTTCAGTCTAGCTGAAGACTGGCAATGAAGCTCAATGGTGTGAGGGATATTTGATCACACTGTGAAACTCCAAGATTGTGTTAATAAAATTAACCTTAGGCCAGGCATTGGTGGCGCACGCCTTTAATCCCAGCACTCGGGAGGTAGAGGCAGGTGGATCTCTGTGAGTTCAAAGCTAGCCTGGTCTACGGAGCGAGTTCCAGGACAGGCTCCAAAGCGATACAGAGAAACCCTGTCTTGAAAAACAAAAACAAACAAACAAACAAAAATTAACCTTAGATCAGGGGGCTGAGCCAGGAACTAGTTGACAAGAATTAGCCATAGAGAGGACAGAGGACCCAGGAAGATGGATAGAGAGATGCACAGAAAGAAGCAGGGAGGGACTTTAGATCCCTGGGCCTTTTGGGTTTGGGACAGGTGGAGAGATGCTCTCTTGCTAGGTCTCTGACCAAAAAGGAAGGTCAGCTGGTTGCTTCTCGGTCTGTCTGAGCTAACAGGTTTTCACTCAACATCTGACTCTTGAGTCTTTATTGGTAAATAGAGTAACTTAAATAAAAACAACATAGTGGTAGAGTACTTACCACATAGAAGGCCTTGGGCTTGACTCCCCAGTACCCCAAATGGAAAAAAAAAACCACCAAAACACTCTGAGTTCAAGGCCAACCTAGACAAGGATGGCCAGGAGAAATCCTGTCTTGAAAAACCAAACAAACAAAACAAACTAAAAACAAACAAAACCAAACCAGGAGGCTCATGTATCTGCAGGCTGGGAAAACGGCCATAAGACCAGAAAAAAAAAAAAATCAATTGCAACCTCTGGGTCAGGGGGAGGCAGCAGGTAGAAGGGCTAACAGGCCAGGTAAGCCCAGAACATGCTGTCATCACATGTGCCCTCACACCCAAAACCTTCAAACAATGAAGCCCACGTTTGTCTTCAAATGTGCATGGAAGAAGGGAGCTGGAGGTGGATCTCTGTGAGTCTGAGGCCAGCCTGGTCCACAGAGCAAGTGTCAGGACAGGCTCCAAAGCTACAGAGAAACCCTGTCTCAAAAAAAACAAAATAAAAACAAAAGGAGGAGAAGGAGGAGGAGGAGGAGGAGGAGGAAGAGGGAGCTGGAAATTACTGGAGAGAAAATAGAAAGTAGGCCAAGCCTCTGGGGCTTATGGCAGGGGAGGGAGGCAGTGATGAAGTAGAGGCCTGGGTCTCAGAACAGGCCCTGCAGAAACGAATGAAAAAACCACTTAACACAGACTCAGAAACATCGGGTTTTAAGCTTAGATACTTACTCCTCAGAAGTGACTAAGACAAGTAAAAACTACACTGGTTTAGACAGACTAACTCTTTTGGCCAGGTGGAACACACCTATAATTCCAGAACTTGGGAGGTGAGGGCAGGAGGACTGCCATGACTTTAAGGTCATCCTGGGTCACATGGTGAGACCTATCTCAAGAGGAAAAGGAAATCACTGTTCAGCATCTTTGTTGTTCATTTGAGACAGGGTCTCAGTGTGTAGACCTGGCCTGGAACTCAGTAAGTACATCAGGCTGTCCTCACAGAGCTCTGCCTGCCTCTGCCGCCTGAGTGCTGGGATTAAAGGTGTGCACCATCGAGTCCAGCTGCTCCGTGGTGCTTAAGAGCCTTCTGATAGTGTGAACTTGAGTGATAACCTCAAAAGCCCCTAGGTGGAGCTCTCCTCCCTTGACGAAGGTGTAAGAATGGTGACTGGAAGCCTCCACTCCATCTGAAAGCCATTTTCCAAATTCTATGAGAACAAAGAGATCAATCAAGCTCCCCACCCCACCTTGTGGTGTGTGTCCACCATGGGGTAGTGTGCCCATCCTGGCATGCATCCCTTGCCAAGGCAGGGACAAGCCGGGCTCTGGAGCTGCAATGTCACTATCTACAAGGTGTCCATTGGCAACACCAAACACAGAGCCCCTGAGCTCAAGGTAAAACTGTTTGCCCTGCAGGTAGCTGACGTGCACTTACACGGGAGGCATCACTACCATGACTATATGTGGGTGTGCATATGACAGTGCTCGGTCATACCCATGGGCATCACAAAAGTAGGATGTGGTCAGTCTGCAGGGGCCACAGACAGCCACAGTGAGTAGGACTGGGGGAGTGGGAATGGGGGAGGGGTGGGCAGCTCTGAGACAAGGGATGCTGATCATCAGGCTGAGCATGGACACTGGGCCAGGAAGAACAACACACACCGAGGTGCTTCTTGGTTTCTCTCTGCCTGTGTTTGGCCCAGCACTAACTTTCATCTCCAAATCTCTGGTGATTACATGGCCTTTAGCTTATGACAGTGCTGTCCCCTAAGGGGAAGGAAGAGACTTATCTGATCAGTTAAAGGCCACAGAGGAACCCATGAAACTCTTTGCCAAGAGGCAGAAATAGTGGGAGTATAGTCCCTGGCCAGCCGTCACTCTAAATCGGAAGACGACTGCTCCTAGTGAATAGAAAAGAAATGTAGGTGAGCTCTGAATGAGCTGTGGAATGATAAGGCCAAGACATTCGTGGAGGGTAAGCATCTAAGCAAACATGGAGATGGCTATGAAACAGTTCAGGAGAGCCAAATAACTAATAAATTAGTTCGGTGAGAAATTAGGTAGATCGTGAGTTCAAGGCCAGCCTGGTCTACAAAGTGAGTTCCAGGACAGCCTCCAAAGCCACAGAGAAACCCTGTCTCAAAACCCCTCCCCCCAAAAAAAGAAATTAGCTAGATCATGAGCAACACTAAATGGATTCATCAGGTATTTAAACATACTCACACACAAAAATAATAAAAGAAAAAGTCATAATTTGAGAGGGAGTGGGGGGAGCATGGAAGGAGTTGCAGCAAGGATGGAAATGATGTAAATAAGCCAGGTGGTGGCGGCGGCGGCGGCGGCGGTGGCGGCGGAGCACGCCTTTAATCCCAGCACCCGAGGCAGAGGCAGGTGGATCTCTGTGAGTTCAAGGCCAGTCTCTGGAGAGATGGCTCAGCGGTTAAGGGCACCGACTGCTCTTCCAGAGGTTCTGAGTTCAATTCCCAGCAACCACATGGTGGCTCACAACCTTTCATTATAAGACCTGGTACCCTCTTGTGGCCTGCAGGCATACATGTAGGCAGAGCACTATAAATAATAAATAAATCTTTAAAAAATTTTTAAATTTAAATTTAAGAAAAAGAGGAGGAAATTATATAAATTAACAGCTGGTCAGATTGGAGAAGGATGCTCAACAGGTTCTATGCCATGCCACAAGAGTACAGGTAGGGCTATGCAAATGCCCAAAGGGATTGGCCTTGCACATTACTGATGCCAAGAAATGCCATTTCTACAGAGTAATGTTCCCAGATCACTGTGCAAAAAGCTCCAGACACACTATTAACTCACCAGCCTGGCAGAGGGTTTTACACTATTATCTCAGCAGCCTGGCAGAGGGTTTTACACTATTAACTCAGCAGCCTGGCAGAGGGATTTACACTATTAACACAGCAGCCTGGCAGAGAGTTTTACACTATTAACCCAGCAGCCTGGCAGCGGGTTTTACACTATTATCTCAGCAGCCTGGCAGAGGGATTTACACTATTAACACAGCAGCCTGGCAGAGAGTTTTACACTATTAACCCAGCAGCCTGGCAGCGGGTTTTACACTATTATCTCAGCAGCCTGGCAGAGGGATTTACACTATTAACACAGCAGCCTGGCAGAGAGTTTTACACTATTAACCCAGCAGCCTGGCAGCGGGTTTTACACTATTATCTCAGCAGCCTGGCAGAGGGATTTACACTATTAACACAGCAGCCTGGCAGAGAGTTTTACACTATTAACCCAGCAGCCTGGCAGAGGGTTTTACACTATTATCTCAGTAACGTGGCAGAGGGTTCCAGGGTTGAGCATGATCCCCACCATCTGCTCTGCTCACCTTTCTCGGAGGAACGTACAACAGGCGTCTTTGATGCTCTGGAGCTGTAGGAAGCTTGCCCCCATCAGCAGCGACTGCACATTTTGCTGGTCTATAGCAAGGTTGCCGTTATAAGCAAAGTTGATGAGAGCCTCCAGGGCACTGGAAGGAAGAGGAAATGCATGAGAAACTCTTCAGAGATGAGTCTTGGCCACAGGTCACTTGGTCCTAATTGAACTAATAAGACCACCTGTGGTGGTTAAAATGGCCCCATAGGCTCATATATTTGAATGCTTGGCCATCAGGGAGTGGCACTACTTGAGAGGCATTAGGAGGCGTGGCCTTGTGGGAGCAGGAGTGAACTTGTTGGAGGAAGTGTGTCACTGAGGTGGGCTTTGGCCCAAGCTAGTGCCAGTGTCTCTCTTCCTGCAGATCTCCAGCACCATCTGCCTGTGTGCAGCCATGCTTCCTTCCCACACTGATGACAATGGACTCAACCTCGGAAACGATAATAAGCCCCAATTAAATGTTTTCCTTTATATGAGTTGCCATGACCATGGTGACTAAGACTCTACCTGAAGAATAGATGACACTCACTTAGAGGCTGGAGAGATGACTCTGGTTGATTGCTTACTGTGCAATCATGAAGACCTGAGTGTGGACCCAGGACCCATGTGATAAGTCAGTGTCCCACAGATGCCTGCAATCCTGGCTTGTGGGAATCTGATACACGCTTCTGGCATGCACACTCACCTGCACACGCATACATGCACATATACATGCACACACATGGAAACACATACGCAAATCTTTAAAAACTCCATTTAGCTGAGGTGAGTACAACAGCACATGCCGGTCACTCTAGCACTCGTGAGTTTGAGGCAGGAGGATACCAAGTCCAAAGTCCAGCCCAGTCTATAATCAGACGACATCGCAAAACAAACTAACAAAATCTATTTTGAGACTATATTTGAATGGAATGACTATTTCAAAGAGTCATCCTAACCAGGTGTGGTGGTCACTGGCTGAGGAGCTCATCCATCTGCTAAGCACCACAGTGTGTATGGAGCTGTCCTACCGCACACTGTGCTTCACTGCGGGCCTCCATGTGGTCCAAAGCTCGGGGTAAAACTGACCCGGAAAGCACAATGGTAGGGGGGTTAGTACCTGGGGTCCATTCCTTGCATCACAATCTCATCCTGCTTGCACTCCATCATGTCATTAGTAAACATAGCATGGAAGTATGGGATGGAAGCTGCTAAGACGATCCGGTGAGCACTGAATTTGTGGTCCCCGATCTGTGGGCCAAAGGAAACACAAAGACAAATATTGAGAACACAGATACAAAAGCCCAATCTTCCGGTTCCATAGCTAACCCCACCGCTTACTGCAGTGACAATCAAGACGTCCCAGGCATCACAGACAAGGCTCATCATAGAGACCTTTGAGTATTTAAAACCTATACTAAGTTATGGTGGAAGAATGTAAACACCACATTTTAATGAGGTATTGTGGAACATTAGTTTAACTGTGTAAAGATGAGTTGCAGGGGCTGGAGAGATGGCTTAGTGGTTAGGAATGCTCACTGCTCTTATATAAGACCAGAGTCTGATTCTCAGCACCCACATCGGACAGCTCATCACTGTAACTCCAGTGTCAGGGGGATTCAGTGCCCTCTTCTGGCCTCCACGGACACCTGTACAACCCCCCATCCCCCGCCCAACACACGCATACACACTGGAAACAATTCTTTAAGGGGGCTGGAGACATGGCTCAGAGGTTAAGAGTACTGGCTGCTCTTCCAGAGGATTCTGCTTCAATTCCCAGCACCCACAGTTCACAGCTGTCTATAGCTCCAGTTCCAGGGGGTCCCACACCCTGCCACAAGCATACATGTAGGCAAAACACCAATGCACATAAAATAAAAATAAATTAACTTTAAAAAAGGATGTTTTTGTTTATGCTGTAGAACATTAGTTTAACTATGTAAAGATGTGTTGCATTTGTTTACCTTGCCTGCCTGATTGGTCTAATAAGATGCTGAACAGCCAATAGCAAGGCAGGAAGACTTCCAGGCAGGAAGAGTAAGTAGGAGGAGGAATCTAGGCCCCACAGAGCCAGAGGGAGAGGGGGAGATGCCAGGGGTCAGCCAGCCAGCCATGGAGGAAGCAGAAAAGTAGGACATACAGAATGAAAGAAAGGTCAAAAAAGGTCCCTGAAGGAGCTGTGTGATGGTGACGCACGCCTTTAGTCCCAGCACTCGGGAGACAGAGGCAGGTGGATCTCTATGAGTTCAAGGCCAGTCTGGTCAGATTGAGTTCCAGAACAGCCTCCAAGGCTACAGAGAAACCCTGTCTGGAAAAAAAAAGAAAGAAAGAAAGAAAAAGAAATAAATAAAACAAGCCCTGAGGGAAACAGGTTAAATTAAGTTAAAAGAGCTAGTGGATCAAGCCTAAACTAAGATCAAGCATTCATAAAAAAGAAGTCTCTGTGTCTCTATTTGGGAGCTGGTTAGCAGTCCAAAGAAAATGCCAACTGCATATGGTGTCCTATGTGGGGCCTGAATTTCCATATAAGGCCTATGAAAGCTGAAACAAAAAGACAACATAAAATGAATACAACTCCTTTACAAGCCCTTCTGTGCAGTAGAGCTCTTGAGTAGCTGGCACTTTAAGTAGAAACAGCAAGCTAAGTAAAAATGCCTGCCACAGTGCAGGCACCAACTTCCTAGAGCTGGGGTGGTTAAATACAGCTCTCAGCCAGGCTTAAGGCTTGGCTTTCACAGACCCAATATGGGGTGGAGCCAACCGCCAGGGACACACAGCAGAGGGCCTAGCTGCCACTTAGCTTAAGGTTTGACCCACAGGTCAGAGAATGCTATAGATGCATAGTAAAACAGATCCAGACCAAAAACACTTTTAAACACATTACAGTGTGCATAGGTGCTGAAGAAAGAAAAGAAATGGGTATAGACAGTCATAGGAAAAAAATAGTTTAAAAATAATTAGGTCTTTAAAGGAAAGGTAAAGTAGTATGAAAAGAATAAGCCACGTAAGGATGGGAAATAAACAGGGTGTCTGGATCCTGTAAGGTGTTTTGCAGACCTTGAATCTTTTGATTGCAAATGGCAGCTGCTGAGAGACATGGGATTGTAAAAGGAACTGCTGAATTAAACCAGCCTAGATACTTTAGGGATGTCTTAACTTTAAAATGGAATTCAGAAAATATATTATGTTGTGGGAGAGGTTATGCTTTTGTTTCCACAGGAAATGAAAGGCTGTGGATTCCTTGAAAATTATTAAGAGGCCAGATTTGATTGAGGGAGACCCCTGATAATCTTGGCTACAGACATAAAGAAATAAACCTAGAAAAAAACTATAAAACAGGTGATGTATACGCTGATCACTTGACATGGAAACGGCTCTGAGACTAGATGAGACATGACAAATCTTGTTGGTTACAAAGTCCTCATGACTTATTATTACATGTCATCCTTTCCTATGGCATGGATAGAGGTTTATATTACAGTTTGATTATACAGTCTAAATAGACTTACAAAGTCGACAGATGACTTTTACCTACTAAAACGTAAAACAAAAAATCATCTTTAACTGACTCATGCACACCGTACAATCTATACTGTGTTAATGCAGATATGTATGTTAACCTTTGAAAGTTTATGTGCTTTCAGAGAAAGGGGGCCAGGCACCAATGAAAATGGGTGGCCCGGGTGATCCATTCTCTCAGAATGTGTTTGTTGCATTTTCCTCAGAGCTCTACACCCAGAACAGCTTCAAGGCTGAGATGGTCCAGCCTCACAGACTATTATAGCCAGGACTTGACCACTATTCTAATTTTCTCGGGGTTCCCCAAAGATGCCAATACCCCCAGACAACAGGAAGCAGTCTAGAGAACACCACACCTACATTCCTAAGAGATGGGGTGGACATTTTTTGGTCATTCGGTGTGTTATGGATGTTTGTTATTATTTAGGGGGGTTGGTTACAAATTGTTCTTGGCCATGGTCAGGGAGGATACAATGCAAAGGAGATTAGATTCAAGGATCTCTTTCTGAAGAGAAAAAGGGGGGATATGACATAAAAACGAGATAAAAAGGGTAGATTGCTGAGTCTCAAATATTTCCCATTCGTATGGAATTTTGTATACAGATACAAATTTAAGGTTATTTTTGTTAGAACATACTGCACATATGTTTCTAGTCTTGTTTAAGGTGTTGCACCTATGTAGCTCATTTAACAATGTAATATAAATTTCTAGTCCTTCAAAGTTATTATTGTAAGGATTCAGGCATTATGCTGGCCTGCCCCTGTCACCTGGCAGAATGCACTCAGGCAGTATCCTGGTCAGCACGCAGGTGCAAAGGACCCCTTTAAAAGAAAGACACCCCCAGCCCATTTATGCTCTCTTCTTTCCCTCTCTCTTTCCCCGCTGTTCCCCTGGCGCAGACAAGAGACTTCTCCCTCTTCTCTCTGTCATCTCTCTGTCTCTGTGTCTCTTCACTTCTTTTCTCTTTCCTCCCTCCCCTTCCCTTTCTAATAAAACGTCTCACTTAAGCTCCATCTGCCTGGCATATTTGTCCTCCACCTCGGTCACCCCTGCCTGCCATGGAATCCGCCAAGGTTCCCTTCCTGCTTTATCATAACAACTGCTATAAGCTATTTAGGGTAATAAGGAAATGCATGTTAGTAGCTAGTCACCTATAACAATAAAATTTGTAGTCATATTAAGTATGTTTTCAAGGTCATACAGAGATATATTTTAGATAGATAGGTGATCTTTAAACACTTCAAAGACCTACAGAATATTACATTTAAAATGTTTAGTAACATAAGATTTTTCTTGATAATGAGACATGTCTGCTCCTGGCAGCACCAATCTACTTCACAAAAGGATGAGGGGCATCGATGAACCTCCATATGGAGTTTACTTTCTTTGTGGCAAAAGCTAGACATTTGAACAAGAAACTGCCCTTGCCTTGACTGCTAACACTGTTGTCCAAACTGCACAAGCAGGACACTAAGAAAAGTGACTGCTGAACTTTGCCAAGACAGGGTAGGACAGTCCTTCAAATATTCTAAGCCTATAGGCCAAAGATGGATGCCCCAACATTACAGAGGAACCTTGGGTGACTGTCCAGATAGCCAGCTGTCTCTGTCATTTCTTAGTTTTGGAAGTTGCTTACTCTGCACTTCCTGTTTACTCAAGTAATATTTTATTCTTATTGGATCTTTGATGGAGTTGAACTAGGTAGTTATAGTTGCAGTTTTTCTTAGAAAGTAAATTAGGTACAGAGCTTTGGACTCATCAAGCTAGAATAAATAAGGGAGTATTTTCTCCAAATATGCCAAAAACAAATGGACTAGACATTGTAAATGTAATTCTTACCTGATAATTGTTCTTATTGTTTATAGTTTTATTGTATTGGAGTTAAAACCTTTTCCTTTTATTTAGACAAAAGGGGGAAATATTGTGGAATATTCCTTTACACTGTGTGAAGATATTTCACTGTGACTGGTTTAATAAAAATAATAGCTAGGAAGGATTTTTAGAGCAGAGGACTCCAGATGCTGGAACTCAGAGGAAGCAGCATGGGTAATAAAGGTAACATAGCCCTGAGGCAGGAAGTAAGTGAATAAAAATGGGTTAATTTAAATTAAAAGAGCTAGTTACAAACAAGCCTAAGCTATCAGCCAAGCTTTCACAATTAATAGGAAGTTTCCATGTGGTTATTTGGGAGCTGGCTGGCAGGACAGAAAAATCCAACTAACACTAGGCTCATAGCTCAGAGGTACAGGGGCTCACTGAGGTCACCCAAGTACCATACACACATACATGAGTGAATAAACACATAAATAATCTGTACAGACAGACCAAACTTCATTTTTTTTTTTTTTTTTTTTTTTTTTTTTTTTTTTTTTTGGTTTTTCGAGACAAGGTTTCTCTGTGTAGCTTTGGAGGCTGTCCTGGCACTCATTCTGGAGACCAGGCTGGCCTCGAACTCACAGAGATCCTCCTGCCTCTGTCTTCCAAGTGCTGAGATTAAAGGCGTGCGCCACCAACGTCCGGTCAGACCAAACTTCAAAATTAAGCTAGAAAGATCTTTTAGGAAAACCAGCATATATGGTAAATAAGAACATCTGGGGATAACCTTTAAACCCAGCACTTGAGGCAGAGACAGATGGATTGCCAGGTGTAAGGCTGATTTGGTCTACATAGCAAGTTCCAGGCCAGCCAGGGCTACATAGTGAGGCTCTGTCTGGTAACAAAACAAACTCTC